TCACGAGGAGATTATTTCATCATCAAAATCACACATTGTCAATACCAGTTGTTGATGACGAATTTCCAATTAAAACCAAATTTACAATTCGCTCAGATTTACGATTTAAATTTGATCATCATAAAACAGAATCTCTTCTGAAAATTAAGAAATGGTCAATTCCGATAAATGAAACATCGAAACTAAGTGCCAAGCAACAAATTATGATTATTCAATATGCTGGTCAATTGTTTGAGTTGACCAGTATGGTGGAAGGATTGATAACTCCATTGATGAGAGGGGAGGATTTAACAATTACTAATTCAGATTATTTATTTGATTTGGAAAGAAATAATCTTTATTTGAGTACTATTTGTAGAGCTAGAGAAGGGAAAATTTTACAATTTCTAGTAAAGCCAGGAGATTGGGTTGAGAGAAATCAAGCTGGAATAATTGTTGAGAGAGAAAAAAAAGTTGAGGAGTGGAAATTCCTTAAACCAGGTAGAATTCTCGAAGTTAATTTAAAAGTTGGAGATCATGTTGGCTTTTTTTATTCACCATTCACAATGATGGAGAAGGAAAGTGGCGAAACTAATCTTCCATTAGCTGATTGCAAATTTATTGGAATTAGCAATGAAAATCCAAAATATAGACCTGATATGGCTCCTCAAATGTATTATTTTGAGGATCACAATTGTGGAATTAGTACAAAAGAATACTATACTGAAATATATGATATAGAGTGGCTTGTTAAAGAAGGTCAATTGGTAAAGAAGGGAGATTTACTTTGTTCATATCAAGTACCCAAATTAAGATTGGAATTTATGAGTCCATATGATGGGAAAATTGTGTGGCTCAGAAGAGATGATTCCATGTTCATTGGGGATTCATTTTTTGAAATAATAGTTCACCAATAAAGTATTTATTAATTCGTCAAGTTTCCACCAAATTATTCTACTAAAATGGTTGAAGAAACAACCTTATTATCAATTAATTTTCTAACTTCCATATTGAATGGACGTTTGGCAAAAATATTCTGAACAGTTCGTCGCAAATTTGTAATAATCTTCCACTCATTACAAGCATTATCATCTGGTAATTAAATGACATTAAAGATTGATTCTTGCCTTACCACCGCCTCATGAGGTACATCTCTAAAACCACCAATCTCACAAAAGGTGTCAAACACGTATAACTCTTCTTGATTCAGCAAGTGTCTTGGCAAAACCTCTAATAAAAGTCGTGTTTCTGTCCTGACAGTGTTTAAAGGATACAGAGATGGTAGAGGCGTAGTTTATTGAAAACTAATCTACTCAAAAAGTTTAAGTACAGTACTTTTCAAGTAAGGGCGAAAGATTGTCATTGTTATATCCAACAACTCATCATGAATATATTCAAAGTCACAACATCTGTTAAGGTGATCCTCCAGAATACACGAACTTCCCAATTTGTTCAATCTTTCTACAATTTCATATGATAATCCTGGATATTTTGTAGATAGTTGTTCTATGGTCAAGAAATTATCCACTCTATCATTATCAAGTTTATCACCTGACAACAATTCAAACATAGTAATCCCAAAACTGTAAGCATCAAAGGCTCTGTAGTTGTACTTGATATCTTTTACCTTTTTAAGCATTTCAGGAGGCATGTAAACTCTAGTTCCAACATGCTCTGCCGAGGAAGCTATTGTTGAAATCATTTCTACTGATATGCCAAAATCTGCAATTTTAACCTTGTCAATTACATCCACATTTCCAATCTTTCTTGTGGTAAGTAAAATATTAACAGGTTTCACATCATAGTGAATTATTCTTTTTTGGTGGCAATATGCTAAAGAAGATGATACATCCAACAATACAAATAAGATTTGACTGATTTTTCCAAATTTTAGGCCACCAAAATCTGTAAATATATGCTCACTTAAATCCTTGTCCATCTTCTCCATTAATATTAAACTATACTTTTTAAATTTGTCAGTTATTGTTTCAAATTTAAAGACTTTAACTATACCATCATGATCAAGTTGACTCATAATTTTATATTCTTCACCAGAAGAAGAATCTTCTTCTGAGTTAATAGTGAAACCTAAA